AAGCCTTCCTACTAATCATGCATGAAGGATGACTTGTGGTATAATCAACATCACACCTGGTCTGCTTCCTATGTTGTCCAAGGTCCCACCTGGGCAGTGCTGTCCCCAGGCCATAGTGGTGACTATCTCAGCAGAAAAGTGCTTCATTCATGGGTGCTAGAAAAAATGATTCCTTTAGGCTGTGAAAGCCAAACTCAGTTTTCCTCTGTCTAGAGAGAAGATAGACCAGCACTTCACAGTGAAAATGCCACTTGTGTAGCTATCAGTAGATCAGATTTTCTTAGGATCAAAGTGTGTATTTTCACAAAGAAAAAATAGTATTCGAAAAGCAGGAGACACAGGGATTGTTCCATAGGAAGGATCAGGGAAACAGGAGTGCAAAGAATATATATTCAGTGGCTGGTCTACGTCAGACATTCCCCATGTTTACGCAGTGTGATCTCCCTGCAAGGACCCATGAGGACATATTCTTCCCTGATTCATCAAGTGCTTACCAAGCACCAACTGTTACTGGGTTTTCACTGAGGATATAGTTGTAAACAAAAGCCACAAAGTCCCTGCTCTTCAAAATCTTATCTCGTTGACAATTTAATAATAATGTTAATGCTGGTTGAAGAACCATGTTTCAAGTTCTGTACTATACACTTTATCTGCATTATTCCAAAAACCTCATGAGTCAGAGACTATTACCAGTCTGCAGTTTACATCTGGGAGATTAAGGCACAGACTTGAGGACGAACTTGCCCCAGACACATAGCTAATAAATGGCAGGGCTAGTTATTAGCTCAGCCAGAGGCTGTGGCATCAGAGCTCATGCTCGGTATTTTGTACTTTACTGTCTCTACGACAAGACCATGACCTGGATGGAGAGGATGGGCTCATATGTCAGTGACTGTCAGGTATGTCTAACATGAAGGCCTGTGTTCTCTCAATGGGTATGAACAGCAGTAGAAATATAGAGTCACCAGAACCAGATCAGACTGGGTTGGAATTGGTTTCTACTCCTATCATTTGAGCTATTGTAAAAAGTTGACAAATAAAAATATATAATTTAAGGAAGATGTGTTGTGTAGTAAAATATTTTGAACCTGTCTAAAATAATAATAGATCCTGGGGGCTGGGGATTTAGCTCAGTGGTATAAGTCCCTGCCTGGTAAGTGTGAGGTTGTGAGTTCGATTCCTGGTACAAAAAAAATAACTTTTTTTAAAAAAATACACTCATTTTCCCTTCCTCTGTCCTTCTCTCACTTCTTTCCTTCCTTCCTTCCTTCCTTCTTTCTTTCCTCTCTTCCTTCCCACAAATACATACTGACTGCCTTCCAACTATCACAGACAGTGCTGGGTGCTCTTTTTCCTAAAGCAGATTAAAAGTTGCCTTAGATAACTTTGTTTTTGGTTATCGAGGGCAGTTATCTTTAAATTAGCAAATGTGATTTCCTCCGTTCCTTTTCTGCCTCTGTGTTTTAGAATATGCACGAGTCAGTGAAGCTAGGGCTGCTTTTCCCTTTTATTTTCAGAGTTTTATTCTGGGGGGCAGACCAGAGCCTTGCGTCTGGGGCTTTCTGAGTTCACATATGTTTCTTCAGCTCTTCCTGACACTTAAGAACTTGGAGCAGCAGAGTGCCCAGCCAGAATCAAGCGTCCAGTCTTAGCTCCTATTCTGTGTCCCGTGCCCAAGCAGACTAATAAATGAAGTCTTTTAATCAGCATGGTGAGAGAACTCTTCTTCTCTCTGTGAACCTATATTTGTTGAGAACTGAATGCAAGCACTAGGAGACCCTTTCTCTTGTGGGGTCAGCACTCCTGTAAAGGAGACAGACCATGAACACAAAATGGTGTGGGAGGACAACCTGGAGGGCTTAGTGACCGTAGCCTCCCCAGAACATTGCAGATCAGGCACAGAATATAAATCAGCACATTAGGACTGTGAAAAAATTGAGTTTCATTTTATAACCACAAGTTATAAAAGAGCCAAGCATTTATTTTACACTGTTTATATAACTTCAATCCAGTTGAGTACAATTATCCAGTCTAATTAGGCTACTGTCACCTCTGTCACTGTTTATGTTCCCAAGACCGTTTCATCCTTCTCCCTCACCCTAGTCTGCAGTGCCCAGAGGCCAATCTACAGCTGTCGCTGAGGGCTGGTCCAGGACTCGGTGGCTGTTGGATATGGAACCGGCAGGGGAAGATGAGGAGTGGAATCAGACTTGGATTCCTATGGCCTGGGGAATGGTGCGTCCATACTCGGACACAAAAGGTGGACATTGTTGACACATGGAAGGGAAGAACTGGTTTATCAAACAGAATCCTACAATGTGTTAAGTTCAGGACATGGTAAAATGTGGGCCAGACATTCTAGTAAAACAACTTTGAGATTAAGGCAAAGGCCATTAATATGACCCTGAGGTCTCATCTGCAGAGAGGGACATGGTGCTGCAGTTGGGTGTCTTCTGAGTGGTGCCTGCTGATGGAAAAGGAGAGAATCCAATCAAGCCTGGGAGTAGCCCTCCCATAGTGGCACTGATGACAGAGGAGAAGGGAATCTTACCAGAGGTGGCTATTGTTCTGTGAATTAAAGAGAATTTTTTAAAAGATACTATAATATGTGATGGTCTATATTTAGCTGCCCCTGAGAACCCTATGTGCTCATAGGCAGGCTTTTGGAAGGTGACTGGATTATGTGGATTATAGCCCACTTGCTGTTAGGAGGTAGAGTCAGAAGAGGTGGGCAGTGGGGATGTAGCCTGGAAGGCTTTATTTCCCTCGCTGCTCCTCCCTTGATCTCTCTGCTTCCTGTCTACCAGGCCGTGAGCAACCTTCTTCTGCCGTGACCCTATGCCATGCCACCGTGCCTTGAAGTTAGCTAACAGTGCACTGAAACCTCCACAAACTGTGAGCCAAAATAAACTGCTCCTCCTTTCAATTCCCAAAGTCAGGTGTGGTCTCAATGGCAAGAAAGTGACTAAAACAAATGAAACAACCACGGAAGAGAGGGCCTGGACCTACACTCTGATATTAGCTCTCTCAGGTATCCCCATTACAAGTCACAAAGTGAACCTGAAGCAATCACACAGAAGTAGATAATTACTGGCACAGGCTCACAGAACCATCGACAAGGCTTGGTGTACATTCCTGCAACCCATCCGTAAAGGATGTTTTATTCAGAAGACTTCATGGACAGGAAAGGGAAGGAGGCAAGGCAGAAAGATTACCCTGCTATAGATACACAGATCCCAAGGTAGTCCTAGAGCACTTGAGGAGAATGAAAAATCTTGTAACACTGCAGAATGACTGCCAGGGGAGTGTTTTATAGACGACCTTGCTGGAAGAAATACAGAGATAATTATTTCCTAAAGAACGCTACACAATCTCTTCTCACAGGAAGATACCACGAGATACCACAGGCCAATGTGCTCCAATTCTGCTGCTCTCTGTTCTGATGTGCAGTTTATTGAAATTAAGATATGAAAGTACTGTTAATTTTGGTTTAACTTATATGCAAAGGAGGACACATTGGCTGAGCAGCCGCCCTTTGTAATCACCCCTCTTCCTGTCTCAACTAAGGCAGATCAAACATGCTGGCCTCTCCTTCCGTATCTTGGCTAGGCCAGGTAGAGATGCTTGTAGATGTTTGTAGATGTTTGCCAAAGGGTCAGTAAGATGAAGCACTCACTTTATACCAGACTTAGAGCATCGTGGGTCACCACTAGAGAAAGTAATCCTGAAATAGAGACGTGTTTCTAATTACATCATTTGAACATGTTTATCAAGCTTGTACTTCCTGAAGCATAAAGTATCCAGAATTTTTCAGTCCAGTGAGCCCATAAATTTATTTTTGCTCAGATCAGCTTTAATTGTTATTCCTGTCACTTATAACTGAGACCTAACTACTGTGAGTTTTATGTTGTCTTCCTGATCAGAGGACGTATCTACGACCTGATGTGTAAGCTTCCATAGGGAAAAAGCACCACTGTTGAAGATGAGTTCACAGTACAAAATTACCTACTGGAGGAGAACACAGACCACTAAAGTGAAAGGTCAAAATAGCACAAAAAACAAGAAGAGGGACTCTCTCTGCTCCTTTGTGAGAAATGCTATCTACATCATTGCTCTCTTTCAACTTCTGTTTTCCTTAATGACACCTGTTGTCCCCAGCATATATTCTTAGCAGTGTCCCTGTGTGTACCGGCAGATAAAGGTGGGAACTGCAGAGAGGCAGAGGCAGAGGCCAGAAAGACAGACGCTTTGTACTTTGTGAAACACTAACATCCAATATCTCTGAACACATAAGGTCTGTGTTTGAAGAATTTTGTTTAATAGATGAAAAAGTGTCGATTAAATCTCTCATTTCCACTTGTGCAGGTGTCAGCTGTTTATCTGTCTGAAAATCCTCCCACCACCGTCACTGCACACATAAACCCTTCTCCTTGCCTGCCTAACCCTTCTTAGCTTTTAGCATCTCGCTGCATAATCTCCCCAGAACCCCAAAAGATGTTTCCCCTCTTAGCAGATCCCGTAGGGCAATACTTGGATCATCTCACTGACTAGAGCTCCATGAGGGCAGGGACCAGTCCTGTCTTTTTCCCTGGTTCTGTGATTGTAGAATAGATGAATTCTAAGCCATCTGTACACACCTCTTCTTTGCCTGCCTCTCTGAGATCGAGCATTGTTCAGATTTCAAACTGTACAAGGAGATCTAGCAAAAGAAGGGGAGAAAGCTGTGATCCAGTCCACAATGTCAAAGCCAAACGCAGGGGAAAAGATGCCTCTTGCTGGTTCACACAGCACCACCTGGGCTTGCATCAGACCCTGCTCCGAGCTCTGAACAATGCTTATGTCTTCCGGGGAAATTCTCCTGATCCTTCCTAGCAAGGCCGGGGCTGAGTGATGCAATGAAACTTTCTGTAGATCCTCTTCCAGCCATCAGAGCCCAGATTCCAGCTCCATTCACAGCCAAGACCTATCTCAATCTTCTTTCTGATTTTTGTCTCCTTCAGGGTTTGGGATGACAACTCCAGCGACAGTCGGAGGAAAAATCTTCCTGATCTTTTATGGCCTCATTGGGTGTGCGAGCACCATCCTGTTCTTTAACCTCTTCCTCGAGCGCCTGATCACCGTCATCGCCTACATCATGAGATCGTGCCACCAGCGCCAGCTGCAGAGACGGGGGGCCCTGGCGCAGGACAGCCTGAAGGCCCCAGGGAAGAGGGAGCCAGACAGCTTGGCCGGCTGGAAGCCCTCGGTGTATTACGTCATGCTGATCCTGTGCTCGGCCTCGGTGCTCATCTCCTGCGGGGCCTCAGCCCTGTACGCCTCCATGGAAGGCTGGAGCTACTTTGACTCCCTCTACTTCTGCTTTGTGGCTTTCAGCACCATCGGCTTTGGGGACCTCGTGAGCAGCCAGAATGCCCAGTATGACAGCCAAGGTCTCTACCGCTTGGCCAACTTCATCTTCATCCTCATGGGCGTCTGCTGCCTGTACTCCCTGTTCAATGTCATCTCCATTCTAATCAAACAGTCAGTGAACTGGATCCTGAGGAAAGTGGACGGTGGGTGCTTCCGTCAATGCCAAAGACGACTCTTGCAGTCCCGGAGGAACGCGGTGATGCCGGGCAGCGTCCGAAACCGGTGCAACATCTCCATAGAAACAGACGGGGTGATGGAGAGTGACACGGAGGGGCGCCGTCTCTCAGGGGAGATGATCTCCATGAAGGACTCTAACAAGGTGGCACTGGCCATCCTCCAGAAGCAGCTGTCCGAGATGGCCAATGGCGGCCCCCACCAGGCCAGCTCACTGTCCCAAGAGGACGAATTCTCAGGGGGGATCGGGGCCTTTGCAATAATGAACAACAGACTGGCAGAGACCAGTGGGGACAGGTAGAAGTGAGCAGTGGCTGCTGGGCACAGAGGCTTAGGGATGAGTGGAGGGTGAGGGACTGTCATCCACAAGATGCACTCAGCCCTGAGCCTGCTGGCTTCGTCCAGGGAGCCAATCCCATTAGCTCCTCATGCTCAACTTTTGAAATCTGGGCCTCAACCATGGCCACCTCCCAGGGCTGGGGCAATGGGAAACCTCCCCACCCATCCCCTTAGCTTTACTCTTTAAGTCTAAATCTAATCTTTTCAAAATGAATCACAAACACAGCATAAGATACTGCCTTATAGCTTCATTCATGTTCCTCCAAAGCTTTGCAGGAGACAAATTTTACTGAAGCCTTGACTCCCTCTGGTGTATTCTTCACTTCTGGTTGAAAACTCTAATTGTTCCTGGGATTCTGAATGGCTGAATTCACCACCTCACCCAGCCACTTGAAGAAAAAGGGAAGAATGTTCCAGAATCTGCCTGGCCTGCCTTTTGGCTGGGCTTCCTTCTGAGCAGATTTGACCATGTTTCCATAGATAGGGAAAATACTCTTCATACACATTTCTCAGACTTTTGTTTTCCTTTTCTGTTAATTTTGAAGACCGGACTGCTCAGCTAAGGAATCCTGGGACCTCAGTGTGATAAGAAAGCTGAATTCAGCTTTAGGCCTTTGAACTGCAACAAAATGGCGGTAGGGCTGGGAAAGAGGAGAGACTCACTTTTGTAACTAAAGAACATAGTTTAACATTTTCTCCTTGAATGGTCACGTAGACCATCTCATTTTTACCAGGGCTTGGGGCCTATTGCAGAGAAAATGACTATTTATTAGAACTGAAAATTTAATAAATTCTCATTTTATTAACTAAGATTGAATGGGTATTCATTGTGGACAGTGGACCAGAAGCACCTAATTAAGCAGGCATTTATTTTATTCAGCAGGGGTGGGAAAAAAAAGAAAGAAAAGGGAAATTGACCTTAGGGGTATGAGCATCACAATGGAGTCTTGGCTGGAGAAGCCTTGTGAGTCACATAATGAAATTTGGCTTTTCTTGTCTCATCCATTGTGGTGTTGCCTTCTGTGACTATGATGAGTCCAGTGATATCATCCACCCATGCAGCTGAAGTGTCCACACTAGTAACAGAGGCTGTTGAATCTCATAAATGCAGAAAAGAATATTTGGGTGGTGAGAGCAGACAGCTGTTCTTTTTTTTTTATCGGTACCTGGGATCGAACTCATGACTGACTACTTGCAAGGCAGGAGCTTATGCCACTGAGCTAAATCCCCAGCCCCCAGACAGCTGTTCTTCTTATAACACAAGGGGTATGCTCAGCATTGTAAGAAGCAATAAGGAGAGAAGTGCCTGTAAAAAAGACAAAAGTGAAAACCAAAGCCTGGTGAAAGAGGAAGATGGGGCAGAGAGCATGTGAGCTGGGAGGACCCTTAGGAATTGCCTCATCCAAGCTGCTTGTCTGTGTGATAGCTCGGACCCCGGAATAAAACCCAAGGAAGCAAGAAGTTAAAATTTGGGGAGCAAAGGCTTTATTTTAGGCCAGGCCTGGTGACACAATCCCCGGGAGCCAATTTGGAGACTGCACACCTGACAGCTAAAAGTCAGGGCTTTTATCTTGTAAAACCACAAATAGCTGCTGGTCTCACAATGCAAGGAGGGGGCTGGAGCACACTACAGAACAGGAACGCAATTACATTGGGAGGAGCAAAGTTCAGATAAGGGCTGGGCTAACAAGTCTCCCTGCATACAAGCAAGTTTAGATTGGGCAAACATCTTTTTTCCCTCAGCAGAGAATAGAGAAGTCTAGCAGTAATTAACAACCCCTGTTAGCTTATTTTAGTACCACATCTGTTATTTGTAGAAGGCAACAATGGTTAACATATCAATTAGGTAAGAGTTTACAATTTTTACAGAGGAGAGCATTTCTTAAAGAACAGCACATTTTATTACAGATAGCCGGATGCGGGGTGGGGGAGGGGGTTGCAGGCTTTTACAGCTTTCTCAGGAAATAGAAACTTAACCTAGAAAGATAGGAAGGGAGGTGGGGCCAAGCGGCGCATACAGAACAGGAATGAGGCGCGATGGTTAGAACTAGGCTATAACAGTCTGTGACCCAGGAAGCAGGCACGAGAGACTGTTCCTCATCTGTGGCTGGGGTCCAGTAGTGTGCAGCTAGGGAAGAACCCAGGCCACTGGAAAGTGAGGCCAGAGCTCTTGGTGCCTGTGCCGCCCACTCTTTGGTCCTTCCTCTCCAACTCCTCTGCAGGCTGAGTTGCTTTTTCTTTTAGTTCATAATCTAGGTGTTTTCTTTACAATGCCAGAAGTGCCCAGTAGCAAAACTTCAATAACTCACAATATCTTGTCTTTTCATTTAGGACTCTATGACTCCAAAGTCAGAGATTTTAAACTGTTGCCTCTTCCCTCTAAAGGAAAGGCACCCTGGAGCTGCTGCAGAGCACTTGTTAGGAATCTCTGACCACAAACCAAGCTACTCCTGGGCTCTGCTGAGAGCAGCTGGTTCTGGCCCTAAGGGGTTTCTTAATCTCTGCATTCCTAGTACAGGAACTGGCACAAAGCAGGTCCTTGCATCTCCAGTGTGGGTCCCCAGAGGCCATCAGGAAAAGCAAGGGTCATCTGACAGGGTCCCCTTTATGAAAGATTCTTGTAGAGAGATGGCATATCAAAAGACATGGCTTCCTACAAGGTCCAAAATTGGCATAAACTTTTAAACTGAATTTTTGGAAAATTGAGCTCAAGCTTTCATAAAATCCCCTTGATGTCTCAAAGAATGAGTTTATTTTCTTGGTTTGGGGAGTCCCTGCTGGGAGTGTCTGAGAATCAGTGTAAAGAGAAAGGTGTTTTGTTTTGATAGATAGATAGAAGAAAGGAAGGAGGAAAGAAGATACAGAGGGATGGAAGAAAAGAATGGATGGATGATGGGTGGATGGATGGGTGGTAGGAAAGATGAGTGGATGGATGGATGGATGGGTGGATGGATGGATGCTAAGAAAGATGAGTGGATGGATATTTGGAAGAATGGGAAAAATATGTGCAAAAACCTTCAGAACTATGAATCTTTATTTAGTGAAGTCTCCCTACAGTTACTCTTACATAAGTATAGGCCCCCAAGGATGCCATGGAGCAGCTTTCAGGCTTAAAGCCAAGCAATGTGGGACTTCTCAATGGTACATAAGTATGAACTGGACTTTCCTGGTTCTCTTGTGACTGTCATCCCATATCACTTGCCCGAGCTGTACTAGACATTCATACTACTGTGTCTTAACATATTTATCAACTTAGTTTCTAATTAGTTTTGTTTTCAAAAGAGACTTTGTAACACTACATGTTTGACTTGTTATAAGTGGGAAATACAGTAATAAAAATCCGTAAAATGAAAATCAAAGTGTATTATCAAATTCTAGCCAGATTCTGTGTCCTTGTAAAGGCTCTAAGCCTAAGTAAGGCCTTTGTTCACTGCTACAAATAGAGATTAGCAACTGTAGGGGGGCCAGCAAAGTCACTAGCAGAGGCTTTGCCTACGATGTAGCCAAAAGGACCAGAAGAGAATTGAAGTAACTTTCTTACATGAGGGTCCCTCAGATCAACCCCAGATCCACCCAAATTCACATTTGGAGCAACAGCACACAGATAGCACAGCACAGCACAGTCTCTGAGTTCATGGCATCAGAATCTTTGGTCTGAACACGAATGTGGGAGAGATCAGATGAGTCTGTCAGTCTCCCTGAGAGAGGCCTGGAACCTTTGCATCTCTGTCGTGAAAACCTTAACATTGGCTGCCTCTCGGGGCTGTTGAGAGGATCAGGTGAGGTGATGCTTGGGGAGGGCTTTGGGCCGCAGGAGAGGCACAGCTGGGGGTCACATGCTGGGTTTGGGGCAGAAGTGAATGGCATTACATCCAACAGGGAAAGATTTTTGCTTGTACTTGCACCTGGCACCAGCTCTGGTCACAACGTCTTTCCATAATGACTCTCTCGATGATTAAATGGCATCACTCTTTTGATAGTTTCCTGCCAAATGAACAACTCAAAGACTTTCTCTCTGTTCCAGAGTCCTTTCTTTTCAGGCTCAGCTGATTCCACTGAAACCTTTGACACAGCAAAATGTTTTGGAAAAGCTGTAACATCTACCTTGCTAGCACTTTCTGGTTTTAAGGCTTAGTCATTCATAATTGTAGTATTTTGACCTTCATAACCACAACATGAAAGAGGTGGGCACTTGCTTTCAGACTACTCAAATCTTTTCTGAAATAAAGATAAATAAAGATCTTAATTTATATACGAGTTAACTGGCATTCATCTTCACAGTAGTTCGGGAATAAGGTTTGAAATTGTTTGCTTTGGTGTTCTAATGATAATTATCTATTTCCCTAACTTCCTTGTGTGTTTACTAATTAAAATTCTTCTGCATGGAAGACTTTTTTCCTTCTCTCCCATTACTTTTATGTTAAGGAACTTTAACATTTCATGTAGGGCTGGTTTGTTGGCAATGAATTCCTTTGGTCTTTGTCTAAGAAATGTCTTTATTTTTCTTTCATTTTTTGAAAGGTATTGTTGGTAGATACAGAATCCTGCATTAACAGGTTTTGAAAAAATTTTTCACTTTAAAATAAATACCACTGTCACACTACTGTCTTCTAATCTGTATAGTTGCTAACAGGACCCTTGCTGTAATTCTTACCTGGTTCCTGACTGTAATATTGCTTTTTTTCTAGCTGTCTCCAAGGTTTTCTCTTTATATTTTATTTCCTGCTGTTTGAATATTATATGGGTGGGGGTATGTGGTGATGGTGTGTGTATGTGTGTGTGTGCGTGTATGTGTACATATGTGTGCGTGCCTGTGTGAGTGTGTATGTGTGTGTGTGTGTACAATAGCAAAGAAATAATCGCCTCAGGCAAGATCTGTTGATAGATGCTAAAATCAGTGATGTAAAATCTTTAAGCAAAAACAGAATGCTTTCAGTCTCAAAGATTATCACCAAAATATCTGCTAATTAAAAGAGAAAAATAGGGGCTGGGGATTTAGCTCAGTGGCATAAGCGCCTGCCTTGCAAGCGTGCAGTCGTGAGTTTGATCCCTGGTACTGATTTAAAAAAAGAAAAATATTACCTTTACAGTAAGGAATTCTGGCACATTCCATGTTAATCAAGTAACCAAAGTTAACGTCCCAGGAAAACATACCAGTGTCATGTATGATCTGATATAATACACTGAAAAGGGCCCATCAGGTCTGTGAGATCTTTCATAGTGACATATCACTTTGATCTACTCGTGACAAAACATCAGAGAAGTCCAAATTGAAGGCTATCCTACAAAATAACTGACTCGTGTTCTTCAAGGCTTAAGATCATGAGAGATAAGACTGACAAACTTACAGTCTAGAGGACACAGAGGAGGGATGACAGGAATATGCAGTTTGCATTGGGTCCTGAAACACAAAAAGACATTAGAGGAAGAAAGGAAATATAGTCTAGTCAATAATATTTGCCTAAGGTTGAATTCCTAGGTTTGGTGATTTCTCAGTGATTATATAAGAGGTTAACATAAGGGGAAGATGGGTAGAGGATATATGGGAGCTCTTTGTACTATTTTTATAGCTTGACTGTAAGTCTAAAATTATCTTAAATGGAAAAGTCAAAGAGAAATAAGACAAGACTTCCTGAAGGCAGCGCAGCCAGTTACACCTAGACTTGGGCCATGGTTTGAATGGACACCTATGCTACCAACCCAGCTCTCTCCTAAGGAGATATGGGCCATTGATCCAAAGTCACTGCTTAGACCCATTACAGTGTGTTAATCACTTTCCTCATTTCAAAGGCAAAATACTCATCACCTAC